TTTAGGTGTGTCTAATCTGCTCATAGATTAGTCCTCCATGAGCATTTGCCCTGGTCTTCTCTGTGGCTGTTTTTATGCAGCATGTTGAGTTCATGTGTACGTGGGTATTCTAGTGTTCTAGAGGTTAGAGCACTGGCTTTGCTATGTGGGTCATTACAAAAGCTTTGAGATACATAACAGTTAAGACACATAAAATCCACATGGACTGAAATAAATGAAGCCCTTCCAGCAGTGTTGAGAAGCTGAGCAAGTTGAAAGTTGCACGAATAAATCGGAAAGTGAAATAAAGGACCATAACACAGTCTGTCCCAAAACTTTCGTAGTAAGCTAAGCATCCTAGCACCTGATGTTGGGTGCTGTCATCATTACTCTTAGCTCCTCAGCCATGCTGCACCCCTTGCTCTCTTCTTCTTCCAGTTTCTCTTCCTGGCTTTCTTTTTACTCAAGCCCCAGTAAAGATGTTTATCAGCATCTCTATTCCTTCCCTGTATCAAAGCAATAACAAAGTCCTTTTAAGGTTTCTTGGCAGGGGACGGAGTTGACTTACAAATAATCTCAGGAAAACAGACATGTTAAAATATCATAACAGAAATTACAGGCGGAAGGAATATTAAAAACCTGTGTTAATAGGTGTCCCCTAGTTTTCACGAAATGGAAACAGACTTAGGCCTGTTTTCCTTGGACGGAGTGTCAGTCCTCTTCCAACTCTTATTTCTAGAAATCCGCTTCACTGAGTTCTTCTCTCCCATAGTCTATTTTGGGGCCTTTTATCTTGTGCTTTCCTAAACTTTTTAATGAAGAACTCTTTTCTGTTTTCTCTATGCCTTTTTTATCAGACTTGAAAGTGAAGGGTGGAGACTAGTTATGGTGGATGTTTGGGACTCTAAAGACTTTACTGAGCTAATCATAAATACCTCATTGGGTTGTTAAGAGGTTTATATAAGTTAGCACATATAGACTTCTTAGGATGGAGCTTGACACATAATGAGTGCTAGAGTAGGACCTTGATATTATAATAATTAGTAATTCCTTACTTTTATATTATGTTATTTGCTTTTCTGTGTCCTCTTACTATTTTTATTTACATTATTATCCCGTTTGATCCAATTTTTCTTTTATGAAGGAGAAATTGAAGTTCAGAGAGAGAAAATTTCTAAGGTCAGGTAACTAATGAGCTATGCAGCTGGTACTGAAAACCTGATTCTGGGATCTGAACTCCCTGATTCTGAAGCTGTTATTCTTTCCATGACATCACTCTGCTTTCTCAGCATTATAGGAGGAAATATTACGAACAGCTATCTGTAGATATCTTCTCGATTTGTACAGAGGATCCTGTGATGTCTTTGCTTACATGTTTGAACAAAGCTCCTAGGAGCTGGGGATAGATAGAACGTAGATAACGTAGATATCTATTAACATAGATAATAGGCTGTTTTCTTTTCCTAATATGTTTTTTCTCCATCCTTTCTGCCCCCTCACTGTCCCTTTCATTTGCATTATTTTTCTTGAAAAGTATCGACTGTTCTCCTATCTTCAGGTGTGGAGTTAGGAGGAGATTTGCTGTATCTTCTTGGAGAAAAGACCCTCTGTGGGATGAAAGAATTTTCCTGCATCTTGCCTTCTAGATGAAGCATCTCTCTACAGGTCTGGACCAGCCTTAGCAGATCCTATTCCTTCCCTTCTCATTTTTAGTTTTCTGCTGTTCTCAGGATACAGAACAGAAACCTGCCCTCCCTCAAGCCCTTTCTCCTTCTGCTTTCCCTCTCCCTTTGGGTGTCCAGCACCCCTTGTGTCCTTCTAAGACTCTGACGACAAGGCCTTTCTACCCACTCTTCTCCCTGCCTCTGTGCCTGTATCCTTACTGTTTTCTTAACTTCTAGATATGGACAGATCCCCTGAATTTAGCCTATTGTAGCATAGCCTGCTGTCTTTTTTTGTTTGTTTGTTTTTTGGTAGTGCTTGTTATGGAAATAAACTCTTCATTTATTTGTTTAAATGATGATTATCCATGTCCCTTACTGTTTCAAATCATCTATAGTTGAACAGATCACCTTTAAGGATTTTTCTCTGAAATGGTGTGCTCATCCTTGAACCAGAATCTTATTTTCCTCTTTATTCCTTCTTATATTTAATGATCCTTTTATACAGGATGTCCCAAAGGGTGCCATATAAACTCAAGTATTATTATACTTGATATTTTAAATATTTTTATGTTTATGTATTAGCATGTAGGGAAATATTCTGTAAGATTTTGTAATGAATATTTTGTAAATAAAGGTACATTTAGCTACAGTTTCCTATCTTTTCTCTGTAATGTATGTGTGGTGACCTTTGGAACACCCTGTAGATCTTGTTCCCTTCCATTTCTCTGCCACACCTCACATCAGCTTTTGTCGTGGAAGCTGGTCCATAGCCATTAAATCTGAAATATCCTTAGACACCATCCAGGTCAGAATCACTTACATTTGGATGTTTATACACATACATTTTTATAAACTGGAGAAAGAATGGTTCTCAATCTGAGAAATTAATCTTTGCTATTCAATCAAAGACAATAGTGGTAAAGCTGGTGAATATGAACAGATTCTGAGGTCTTCTGTGTTCTGTGTGCTATTGTGACATTAGTGGATGGTTAAATTTTACCTTATGTAGTCACATTTCCTATTACTTCAACAAATGAGGCAAGCTTGCTAATTTCTCCCCTAATTTAGAACAGAAAGATTGGCAGAGGCAGGAGAAACAGAAACCCTAACAAATTCCTAAGTGACAAAAAGAGAAGAAATCAGAGCTAGCACATTCTGTTTCTAGGCAATGAGTTAGTGCCCTGAGATGAAATTGCTGCACTCCATTTGTACAACAGAATACTACTCAGCAATAAAAAGAAATACACTCTGATATGTCTAACAACATGGATGAATCACAGAATAATTGTGCCGAGTGAAAGAAGCCAGACAAAAAGAGCACGTGCT